CTTAGGTTGTTGTGTTGGTTGCGCGTTAGTCCCGAAGCAGCTTTCCTCGAGAGGAAGACCACAAAGCCCTGTATTCCCTTCAAAGGAGGATTGAGATTGCCCTGTAATCTGTGTTCCTTGTGGTATTTCACCCCTGAGTTGGTTGTCAGACACGTTTATGAACGCCAGAAAAGAGAGGTCTCCGAGTTCTTTAGGAATTGTACCTGAGAGTTGGTTTTTTGACAGGTCTAGTGATTCTAGCTCCGTAAGATTTGCCAGAGATAGAGGAATATGGCCTGTGAAGGCGTTGTTTGATAAGTTGAGTGCAATCAGTGCCTTCAAAAGACCGATGGATTCAGGAATATGTCCTTCAATTCTGTTTCCAGACAAATCAATGGTGCTGTAGGAGGTAAGGACCTTCCCCTGCTCCATGAATAGACCTTTGTATTGCAAATCCATGGTATCTTCATAGATATAGACAGGATTTTTGTAGTCTCCCATATAGATTCTCCCATCTTCACCCATCTGGAATGATGCTTTCCAATTCACAAAATAATCTGGTGGCAAGCTTCCTGNNAAGTTGTTATCNGAGATCTCAAGTATGCGCAGCTCGGGAAACGCAAGAGGNCCTTGATCAGGAGGAGATATAGGACCATAGAATTTGTTTGAACGGAGGGTAAGGGCTTGCAAATCAGGCAAAGCCTTGAGCCAGAAAGGAAATGTGTCTTNGATTCTGTTGTGGTCCAGACTTACAAACTTTANCNAGGAGCAATTCAGAAGAGACCTTGGAAGCTTTCCGGTTAGTTGATTGTAGCCAACATCAAGTGTCCGAAGTGAGGCACCAGCATAGAACATGTCCGGAAGACTTCCTTCCAAGTTATTCTTCCGAAGATTCACTATGATGAGAGAGCTTTGGAAGTTTCTCAGACATCGAGGAATTGGACCGGTAAAGTTGTTGTAGGATAGATCCAGAATAGTAAGAGATCTTCGGTTGCAGGTTGCAAGAGGTATGTTCCCTGTGAAACTATTGTTCCATGCAGATAGGAGGTTGATGGAGAGTGGTGGATTAGGAAATGGTCCTATAAAATGATTTAAAGCCATATCTAAAATCTTCACCGAGGAATTCACTAAAACTTCCGCCGAACCTTCTAAATCGGTGAAAGAATTATTGACAAGACTCACTACGCTCAGGCGAGGAAGCTTCCACAACCACTCAGGGACTTTCCCTTTGATTTTATTGTTGGAAATGTCTATATGCTCCAAGTTATGAAGTCTCTTTAAGAAGTTTGGGAATTGGGTGATGTCGCAGCCCGACAAGACCAATCTCTCTAGGTTCAATGGGATGTCTGAATCTGTGCTTAAACTGGCAGGTGATAAACCATTCCCAGAAAAACGAAGTTTCAACAAAGATTTGAGAGAGGAGAAGAGCCTTAAGTCAGTTGGGTAGCTGATGTTTAGGAAAGAAAGGTCGAGCTCTTTGAGGGTGATGAGCTTTGAGATAGGCGCTAGAATCTGCCCTTCAAATTGGTTATGCGCAAGGAGTAGATGTTCGAGCCTAGATGAAGAGGAATTGGGAACTGCAATAGGACCGGTGAGATGGTTTCCACTTAGATCAAGGCTTGACAAGCAAGGCATCATGAGCAGAGAAGAAGGAATGGTTCCAGAGAAGTGATTATAGGAAAGGTCTAATATAGAAAGATTGGTGAGATTCTGGACAAGTTGGAAACTACCAGTGAGCTCGTTGTGTGAGAGATCTAAATGGATTAACTTGGTGAGGTTAGTAAACGAGGAAGGAACTTGACCAATGAACCCATTAGAGGAAAGAGACAAGACCTCTAATCTGTTGAGATTGCTGAATTCAAAAGGGAGTGAAGAGGAAGTGAAGTTGTTGTGAGAGAGATTAAGGTGACGTAGGTGATGCAAAACGAAGAGGCTACTATTAGGCTTCAAAGTTCCTATGAGGCAGCCGCTAGGGAGTTGTACCGCTGTGACAACACCTGTGGTGTTATCGCATCGGACACCATCAAGGTAGACACTGTGGTTGCAACCATGGGAATCAAACTCGTCCTTGAACCGCAAAAGGGCTTGAATCTGGTCTGGACGACAAGTACGAGCACTGATCATTAAGAAGTTTGACGTGTAGACATAGCAGAGTAAGAGTAGTGAGAGAAAAGGAAGATTCGATCCTGATACGGTCGTCATGAAAACCTCAATTAAGAAGAATGATATCCTTTAAGCAAAGAGACAGACAAGATTAGTCTGTAAATATGGTTTTTGCATTGATGATGATAATTTTATATAATCTC